TGGGGGTGGGGGTGGTGATGAAGGGAGGGCAGGGATAAGGGGAAAAAATGAGAACCAAGACCTGTCATGTAAAGGTACAAGATCCCAATGATGAATGTAACTGTACTGTATACCTAAAATATACTAATAAACTCAATGAGAAAAAAAATTGCATTTCAACTCAAAAGGCATTGAAACCTCCACAAATACTGAAAGGTAGTGAAAGTAATTGAAAAGTACTGGGACTAAAACACAGTTAAAAAGCATCATGAGGACCAAGGAATTAGCTGTACCTTCCTTGAAAGTGCAAGATCCCGAGTTCGATCCCCAGTACCAAAAAAAAAAAAAAAAAAAAGCATCATGAAATAAGCAGCATTAAGCTTACTGAGGACTCCTATCAAAAATAATCCTTTGGCTATATCAGTGTCTCAAATTATTTTATATTAGTGAGAAAAAGGCAAAATAATTCTAATTGGATCTGTTTGGGGACCAAATTGAATTACAGACCAATTCCAAAACTCTTACGTGAACCAGACTCTTTCCCCTTTGATCTTCTGTTTACAACATTTAAAGTTCTAGTTTTGAAAGAGTTGAAAAACGTTTCCCACCGCCCGACTCCACCTATGCTCATGGTGAACTCAAGTTCTGTGTTTTGGACCTTCTATGTGACAAAAGATAAATGCTAAGACTCATTAGCTGTGGATAGAAGGGGAGAATTTCAAAGACATATCCAGGCTGCAACAGCAAACCACCTATGCTCACCACTTTTCAGCCCTATAAAAAGTAAAACGGAAGATTCTCATGCTTCACAACCCTGGATGAGTAGCTGAGCAGTTTTCCTAAACCACGCACGCTGGCACAGCTGCACAGTTACTTCCCAGGCCACTGCGCTCTTCCCAACACTTCAAAAGCAAAGGAACCGACTACAGCCACTTAGAAAATGAAGTGTTGCCTGGAAAATAATGATTGGGGTCAATAAACAATTGAAATTAGGAAGAGGGGAGTCTTCGATTTACTTGATTCTTTTCTAGAGATTTAAAATTAATAAGATAGGGGCCAGCCCAGCACAGCGGTGCATGCCTAGAATCCCAACATTTCATCAGCATTTCAGAAGACTGAGGCTGAAGGATTGCAAGTTTGAGCTCAGCCTGAGCATATTAGTAAGACTATGTCTCAAGACTGAAAAATCAAACAAGGCTGGGATACAGCTCAGTGACCTGGGCTCAATCCCTACTACCTGAAAAAACAACAAACAAAAGGCCTCACATTTATAGAGGCTGAGAACACACAGCTCAGTGGTAGGGTGTGAGCATGTTCAAGGCCCTACGTTCAAGCCCCAGCATGGCCCTGCCCAAAACAATAATTATCAGAGAAAATAAAATTCAGAACACTGTGCAAACCCATCTAGAAACAAGCTACATATACATAAGCAAGTTATTCTCTTGATTTGTGTAACAATTCTCTCCTGGCATTCGCAGATAATACTACCCTTATTTCAGCAGTACCTTTTAGGATCCATAAGATGGCAGGCCTACATTTCACAGTGATGTTTAAAAGTATAAAATACATGGATTACTCCAAAATAGATACTGCATAATATCAGTAGTATACACCTAGGAATAATATTGGGGTCATCGATCTGATTAAATCTCTAAATTATGAAACTAAGAACTGTCCCAATTCTAAAATGGGCATCTGAAATGAACAGACATGTCTCAGACAAAGAAAAAAAAAAGCAGCAAGTAAACATATGAAGAAATGCTCCACATCACTGGTCATTTGAGAGATGCAGATGAAAACCACTCTGAGATTTCACCTCACCCCACAAAGAATGGCTGCTATCAAGAAATCACACAACAAATGTTGGCGCGGTTGTGGGGAGAAAGGAACCCTTCTCCATTGTTGGTGGGAGTGCAGACTGGTGCAACCACTATGGAAGTCAGTATGGAGATACCTCAAAGAACTAGGATTAGAGGTTCCATTTGACCCAGCCATCCCTCTGTTGTGTATCTTTCCAAAAGAATTGAAAGAATCATATCATAGTGATA